GGAGGAGAGAGGGGGGAAAAGGTACAGAGAATAAGTAGCATAGATGGTAGGTAGAAAATAGACAGGGGGGAAGGCAAGAATAGTATGGGAAATGTAGAAGCTAAAGAACTTATGACACATGGACATGAACTAAAGGGGAGGAATGTGGGTGGGAGAGGGTATGCAGGGTGGAGGGGAATGAAGGGGAAATGGGACAACTGTAATAGCATAATCAATAAAATATATTTTAAAATAAGCTACAGAAACAAATAACCAAGAACTTGATAGAATATTGATCAAAAGATAGAAGTAAACATTCAGAGGAAAAACAGTTTAAATGTGCCTTGAATATATGAAAAGACAGTAACATACACTGATAATAGACAAAAATAAATCAAAACATAAAAATAATATAACTTAAAAAATAATTTTGACTCACACCTCTATTTCCGAGGTGAGATGCTGTTTGTCCCCTCCAGGTCTGGCAGAACTGCAGACTGTGTTGAGAATCAGCCAGAAGGGGCAGGAGCCACAGGTCCTCCCCAGCACAGCTGGGGAAGAGGGAACCACAGTTCAACCCAGTAGAGGAGAAGCCAGCAATACCTTGTAAAGTCCACAGGCACCTTCCCTTCTGCTACCAATCACCCCTTTTTAGCTTTTATCCCTGAACTACAATGACAAAAATAACAGGAAAAATCATGCATAAAGTTCTTTATTGCACCATTATTTGTAACAGAAAAAAAAAAGTAACAGAACACAGTGGGTTCATCACTCCGAGTGCGGGAGCCAAAGGGACACTAGCCTTGGTGGAAGAAACAAGTCTCCTTTCACGTGAGACAGTGGGGGACACAGGGGAATGTTTCCAAGCTTGGCCTCTCCCAGGGGAGGCTCCACCTTCGCCCACACCCGCCATCCTGGCAGTTCCAGGCTGAGCCCCTCTCTGCAGCTGAATCACGCAACAGTCACGTCCCAGGTCAAGCTCATCCCGTTTCAGCTCCTCTGCTCAACACAGTGTGACATTGTGGCATTTAGGAGGAAGTGCCCAGGCTGAGAACCCTTGTCCCACCTGTTAATGGCACCCCACCACTGATGACTGCCCATACAATTACTCATACCCCCCTTCTTCTACAGTGGGCCCTGAGAGGGCAGCAAGGGGCTTCACGAGCTTCCCTTGTTTGGTGGCTGCTCTCTCAGGTGCCACAGCAACACTGCAGTCCCATGAGAGAGAAAACACAGGTCAGGACTCAAAATCAGGGACAACATTTTATACCCAGAACCCCATGACCCCAACCACTGACTTAGCAAGTTCCCCAGGCAGGGTGTCAGGTCCCTCACGGTGTTGCCTTGTATCTTCATGTGATTTAGTAAAGACGGTACATTAGCACACTCATCAGGTATGAACACCACGTTTTCTGCTTGGACAATGACAGAGATTTCACCTCTCAGGAGAAATGTTTCTGGTGTCAGAAAGCACTGGAGTGAATATTTTTTCAATACAATAATAAAGAGCGGGGTATGTCTGAAAGAGAAAATGCTGTGGGTACTGCTAAGATGGATTAATCGCTCTAATGAGGTACTTGGGGGAGAGTCAAGTGCACATGTTTCCTACAGGCGGTGACACAGGGTATGCAAGTGACAAGACAAACTGCTGGTAGCAGTGAGGAAATGACACCCTAACCCTGAGGGGAGAAGGAGAGCTGGAATCCATAAAGGGAGGTTTGGTACAGGAAGTGTGGCATTCAACTTCAGGTTGTAGCAGGTCAGAGATGACCTTGCAGAAAGACAGGCAGGAGAACAAGGACTCTGACCTGCTTTCCTACCCGGAAGAGGCCTCCTGCTCGGACTTCCCACTGGCAGGAGCCCGGCAAGACTCAGAGAGCCAGGGAGCCCGCCGACGTGGACAGACAGGACAGGGGCCTCAGACTGGGGCCACTCTCACTCAGCGCTGTTCCTGCCACATGTTCACATGCAGCGCAGTTTTTGCAGACCAGCTGTAAGCAGGACACACTTGGCAGGAGCGCCCCCAGGTAAGTGCAGCCAACTGCAAAGAGGAAGCTGATGTGGCACTGACCAGTGAGTGCACATGAGCACTGGCTCCGCCTCCATCCCAAAGAGTGAACTTAGGGTGTGAAACCCCCGCCTCCTTCATTTGCTACAAGTAAATAAAACCACCTTGTGACAGCCACTTCTCAATTTTTGTATGATTTCACTTATTTATTTTTAGAGAGGGGAAAGAAAGGGAGAAAAACATTAAAGTGAGAGAAGCACTTTGATCTGTGGCCTCTTATACACAACCCAACCAGGAATGGAACCCACAACCCAGTCCTGTGCCCTGACCAAGAGTCACAATTGTGAAATGATGACCAACCGACTGAGCCACGCCTGTGAGGACCACCACGTCTCATCCTTGAACAGAACACCCCGAGTGGCACAAACCCTGAGATCAGTAACCATGCGTCCCATGTAGGCCAGCCTCCTGGGGCACAGAGCTATGGTGAGGGGGGCAAACTGTGGATCTGCAGAGGCAATGGAAAATTATTTGGCACAGAATGTATTTTAAAGTTACAGTCAGGGACATTTCACATTAGGGTAGCACCTAAACAAGAACACAGAGAAAAACAGCATGAGGATTTTTAGCACCTCCCAGACCTCCATGGACCACAGAACCATCTTGCTGGAGAGGCCTGCTCTTCACTGCCCGTGTGCTCGGACACATGGATGGAGAAAATGAGCACCACCAGACGGGGCTGACACATGGCACACACAGGCTTTTCATTTGATTTTCCTAAATTCAGTTTTTGAACTCTATTGCAATGTATTCTGGCCTGATGTGCCCATTCAGTTACTCCATGCCTGCGTTGCTACTGTGGGGACAGGGGAACAAGCTGGGAGGATGCTCTGGGGAGCTGTCACTGCACAACAAACCAGCCCAAAGCCTAGTGGCTTGAAACATCATTTATTTTTCTCATGAATCTACAAACTGGGTGGGACATGGTGGGGATGGCCCATCTTTGCTGTCTGCAGCTTCCCCACTAGGCGGCTCCAATGGCAGCGTGAGAGCCCACTGCCCTGTGGCTGCACTTGCAGGGCTGGCAGGTGGTCTCACTGGCAGATGGAAAAGCAGGCAGGGGGCGGGGCCAGGATTCCAGTCCTCTTCCTGGGGCCTCTCGATGGACAATGTGGGCTTCCTCACAGCACGGAGGCCTGTCCTGAGGGCGCCTACTGCAGAGAGCAAGGTGACACTGTCCCTGTCTAACTTCAGAAGTCAGACCAGTCACTACTCATCAAAGCAGTCACAGAGCCCATGGAATTTCAAGGTAGGGACAACCAACCTTGGTTCAAGTCCCCATCAACCAACAGAAGGAGCAACAACACAGAGTACAAGAAGCAGAGCTGGGGTAGTGAATATTGTTATAGCTATCTTTGGAAAACACAATCTACCATATTGACAAATCATAGTAAATTAATGAAAAATAAAAAATGAATTTATATAATTTCTAAAACATATGCCACACATTTGAAAGCACAAGCTGAATCTCATTGAAAACAGCTGCAAATATTTTTTTTCAGCTTCTTTCTTGGCATTTTCAATTTGTTGAACATATTGCTCATTTAGGACTCTCATGTGTTTCTCCATGACTTGCTTTGATATTACATTCCTAGCACATTTCTCTTCCAGTACTTTTTTCTTTTGTGAATAAGTAGCAGAGATTTTGTTCAGTGACTCTTCCACATCTTTCCATGTTTTCTCTGTGTACTTATAGATGGGACCAGAAAAGTGAGCCCCTCCACTGTCCTGCACCATTATGTCGATCACCTCCACCAGCTCCTGCACTTGATCTTCCTTCTCAGCCTTGTCTGCACTTCTGTTGTTGAAAGCACAGCAGTAGCACTGACACTCTGTGATGATAGTTTTTAGGAGCTTGTCTGACTTTGCTGTAAATGAACTGAGCTCCTGACCTTGTAATTTGTCTTTGTGAGTGAACAAGGTGATCATGTGCTTCATGACGTGCTTCCTAATGATGGCCTTGACCAATTCAACTGTATTCTGCTCCTCCTGTGTGAAGCGGCCCAGCAGTACAACCAGGATGATGGAGTGAGGCCCAGGCCTGGAGTAGAGGACACAGTTATCGATTTCTTCACAGGTGGTCTCCAATTTCTTCTTGGTGTCAAGGAGCCCTGGGGTGTCCACCACGAGAAGCTTCCTCCCCTCCCAGGCCCTCTCTTCTTTCTTACAGCTCTTGGTAACAGACCCAGAAGCAATTCTAGAATCAAATTCTCTTTTCCCAAGAATGGTGTTTGCTGTCGCACTTTTCCCACTTCCAGTTCTTCCCACCAGAATGATCCACAGAGTGTTGTCCTGAAGGCTGGCCATGCTGGTTCAAGAGAATCTGGGTGCAGGTTCCTGAAAGACACTGAGGAAGGAAGGAAAGGGGGAGGGGTCAACTGAGGTAAGTGGGGATCATTCTCAGCCCTCGTTTCCTCCATGAGACTTTGTACTAGTCTATTACTCACATTGCTCCCAGGACCAATAGAGATGATACAGTTCAATTACTACAGAAGAAATAACAGCCTTCCCACAGAAGAGCACCAGGGCCAGGCCCCTCCCAGGGGAGCGCACCTACACCTTACAGCTCTGCTCTCTCAGGGCACCCTGAGCTGTCCTTGATCACACACAAAGAAAGCAAAGTTTCAGTCCTTTTTGGGAATCAAGTATAATATTGATCCCAAAGGCTAACCAAGATTTCACCAATAAATAAAGCCACAGATGTGTCTCATTTGGAAATATTAATATCCTAAAAAAATTATTGGAAACTAAAAAGAGTGATACACCATGTTTAAATATGACTTATTTCAGAAAAGCTAGGATGGTTCAATATGAGAAAATTGTTTTTTTCAAGGCATCCCATTAATAGATGAAGAAGAAACTAACTAGATGCAAAAAACAATTGTCTCAATTCAACACTGACTCATGTTTAAGGCATATCATGAAGTTGCAACTAGTAGGTAATCCTCTAAAGTTAATATAATGGATTATAAAGTACATTTGGACAAAGAAAAAGAACATTATTCAGCACCGACGAGAAAAAGAATAAGGAGGGAGGACCAGCTCTACCAGGAGTCAACACACAGTTTCTATAATTATAGCCTCATGGGGTTGGTGCATGAACAGAGGGAACTGGGAAACTGAAATAGATAATTCAGAAACAGACCAAATTAACCATACAATATGCATTTATAATACAGTTAATTAGATGTTACCATAGATTCAATAAGGCCGCATCTCACATCAATGAGGAGAAAGGTGGACTAATAAAGTGATGTGGGGGCGACTGTGAACCTGTATAGAAAAGGAGAAAACTGCCTCCACTGCCTCACGCCATTCAGCGTTCAAACACTTCACAGGTTTAAATAGAAAACTAACCCATAAAAATAACAGAAAAAGCCTCCGCAAATTCTTTGTAACCTGGGGGTAGGGAAAATATTTCTAAGGTCTGACACAGAGTAAGGAAAAGGACTAATAAGTTTGATTACATAAAACTCTCACAGATAATGTGAGACAAGAAACACCACAGAAAAATTATAGCAAAATTGTCAAACTAGGGAAAAAGCATTTTCCAATGTAAATCAAGGGGGTGAATTTCCCTATTACACAAACAAAATTAAAAGTTACGGAAACAGGACTTCCAGCCAAGATGGAGGCATAGGTAGACACACTGTGCCTTCTTGCACAACCAAGATAGGGACAATAACAATTTAGAAAGAGAATAACCACCAGAACTGACAGAAAATTGAAATGTATGGAAGTCAGACAACCAAGAAGTTGAAATAGACACGTTTATCCAGACCGGTAGGAGGAGTGGAGTTGGGCAGCCAAGCACAGGTAGCGGCACAGAGACCAGATAGCATTGGGACCAGGCGGGTAAGGCATCGGGGCATGCAAGACCGCAGCGGGCGGATCCTGGGAGTGCAAGTGGCAGCTGGCAGACCCCAGCTGAGGAGTGGCAACCGGCAGATCTAGCGAGGTGGCAATTGTGAAGCAAGGCACTGCGTGCAACCCTGGATCCCAGCGCTGGGAAATAGACCCTTGGGGTACTGATTGAAAACACCTGTGGGGGTTGAGGCGCAGGGAGAGACTCCCATCCTCACAGGAGTGGTCCTTGGAAAGTCCCATAGGGTACACGAGCCCACCCACACAGCAATTGGCACCAGAGGGGCTCAGTTTGCTCGGGGGAAGCAGCAGAAGGGACTGAGGTCTGATGGAGAGTGGAGCAAGCACCATTGTTCCCTCTCAGACCCTGCCCCCACATACAGCATCACAACCCAGGAAAGGGGGTGCCCCATCCTGGTGAACACCTAAGGCTCTGCCTCTCATATGTAATAGGTGTGACCAGACCAAGGGAAAAAAGAGATCGTTCAAACACAAGTGAAAGCCCCACAAGCCCTACTTTTAAGCGACCAAGAGATAGCCAACCTATCAGATGCACAGTTCAAAGCACTGGTGATCAGGATGCTCACAGAATTGGTTGATTTTGGTTGCAAATTAGATGAAAAAATGAAGGCTACAATAAGTGAAATGAAGAAAAATGCACAGGGAACCAATAGTGATGGAATGAAAGCCAGGTCTCACATCAAAGTAGTGGACCAGAAGGAAGAAAAAAACACAATCAGAAAAGAATGAAGAAATAAGAATTCAAAGAAAATGAGGAGAGGCTTAGAAACCTCCAGGACATCTTTAAACATTCCAATATATGAATTATAGGGGTACCAGAAGGAGAAGAGGAAGGGCAACAAGTGGAAAACTTATTTGAACAAATAATAAAGGAGAACTTCCCCATTCTGGGAAAGGAAATAGACTTCCAGGAAGTCCAGGAAGTTCAGAGAGTCCCAAAGAAGTTGGACCCAAGGAGGAACACACCAAGGCACATCATAATTACATTAGCCAAGGTAAAAATGAAGGAGCGAATCCTAGAAGCAGTAAGAGAAAAGGGTACAGTAACCTACAAAGGAGTTTCCATAAGACTGTCAGCTGATTTCTCAAAAGAGTCCTTACAGGGAAGAAGGGGCTGGAAAGAAGTATTCCAAGTCATGAAAGGCAAGGACCCTACATCCCAGATTGTTCTATCCAGCAAAGCTTTTATTTAGAATGGAAGGGCAGATAAAGTACTTCTCAGATAAGGTCAAGTTTAAGGAGTTCATTATCACCAAGCCTTTAGTTTATGAAATGTTAAAGGGACTTATCTAAGAAAAAGAAAATAAAAAACATGTCTAGTAAAATGGCAGCAGACTCACAATTATTAACAAACACACCTAAAACAAAAACAAAAAGAAACTAAGCAAACAACTAGAACAGGAACAGAACCACAGAAATGGAGATCACATGGAGGGTTAGAAACAGGGGAGTGGGAGGAGGAGAGAGGGGGAAAAGGTACAGAGAATAAGTAGCATAGATGGTAGGAAGAAAATAGACAGGGGGAGGGCAAGAATAGTGTGGGAAATGTAGAAGCCAAAGAACTTATGAGACATGGACATGACTAAAGTGGGCGGGGGGTGGAGGGGAAGTGGGTGGGAGAGGGTGTACAGGGTGGAGCGGAGTGAAGGAAGGAAATGGGACAATTGTAATAGCATAATCAGTAAAATATATTAAAGAACAAAAATAATTCTACTTCCTTTTTAAAGTCTGATGATGGCAATAATTTTCAGTGGTTTCAAATATTTACTGATAAACTGAAACAATGTCCAATATCTGCCTCCAAATAATTCCAGGTGGGGAGGGAGGACTGAGTTTACAAATGAAGCAGATTGGCATCAATTGATAATCGGTGAAGCTTGGTGTGGGTTCATGGAAGTTCCTTGTATTACTCATTTACCTTTGGATACGTTAAACTTTTTCCACAATAAAAAAATTAACCTAGGTGTAGTATAGCCACTACTGAATACTCTGTACCAAGCCCTCTGATAAATATTTTTACATCATCTCATTTACTCCCCCAAAATAGCCTGTGAGGAAGCTCCTTTTATTATTCTCACATTTTAAATCTTCATCCAAGGATATGTTTATTGATTTTAGAGAGAAAGAAACAACCATGTGCAAGAGAAACATCAATTGCTTGCCTCCCATGCACTCCCAAACTGGAGATTGAACCCACAACCTAATTGTGCACCCTGACCAGCATGGAACACACAAATATTTGTCTATGGGACAACATTCCAAACAATGGAACCACCCAGCCAGGGTTACTATGCTAACGTTTAAGATAAGGGCATTGATGTGGCTGAAAATGCTGAGACACTTGGCCAGGGGCACAGAGCTCACAGCTACTGGGCAGAGCAGGGACCCAACTGAAAGTCCATTTTACTCCCGCCTTCCCTCCTAACCATGGCCCACAGTCCTCTGCCCAGCTCCTCCTCAGCCCCTGACTCTGAAACCTCACCAGTCAGAGCTGGACAAGGAGTGGAGGGGATGGGTCGTCCATTCTCTCCCAGAGGGCCAACTGCACTGCCTGGGATCCTGATCTTGGCAGTGGACAGAGGCAGTTGGACGGCCTGGACTCTATGTCACTGTCAGCCCTGAACATCTGCCCTGGGGACACCAGTTTCCCATCAAGGGAGGAGGAAGGCTCAGCAGCAGCATCAGTGTCTGGCAAGAAGCGCCCCCCATCAGCACACACGTGTCCTGTTGGTATGAGAGGCAGGACACTGTCCTCATAACGCAGCTCCTTCCTCCACTTCCTACCCCTCACCACTACCCTGTGACAGCACACTCCTCTGACTGTGGGGCTGGCAACGTCCCTGGTTCCTCCTTGGACCACAGCCACCCCCTGCACCTGCCCTGGCCCCACTGCCCTCCCAGTCCTATGGCTCACCTGGGTCAAAGCCAGGCTCACCTTCCCTTCAACCTGCTGAGGAGTTCCTGGGTTTTCCCCAATGAAGCTCTTTCAGCTGCTGCTTGTGCTTTAACTGTGAGGAGAGAGTTCGCACCCCTGAAAGCGCTGAGCCAGGAAGCTGAGGTTGGGTGGGGCCAGTGGAGGACCTGTTTGCCTTTAATGAGACAGAAACAGTGTCCTATCAGTTGGCGGTGCTTCTGTTTAGTGAAGTTCAAACCTTGGGTTCCATGTTGCTGCTCTCACACTGAAATTTCCAAAGCTATGTTCAGTATTTGGGTGACAGTGGTGGATTGAAAAGGCCCTCATCAAATG